GTTTGTCAGCTGATAAGGGCACCTTATTTATTTCCCCTTACCACCCCTAGCACAACCCACATAAACCTTATCTAATCGTCCATATTTTCCCCATGCGACCGAAACCCAAACAAAAACAGAACCAGAGCAACTTCTAAATGTATATCATGCAACTGAAATTGCAGGTGGAACAGTTGCAGGTGATTACATCGAAAAAAAAAAATAATAATATGATATAAAATCACATGCCTGTAAATATTAGTTTAAGGGGACATTATGTTAAAATAATTTTAATAATTAAAAATTCCTTTTTTCCAACAATCTTTTGAAAAACAATTTCATAATAACAATTGTTATAAATAATTATTAACGAATTTTATGTAAAATCTCATTTTCTAAATATAAATTTAAAGAGATATTAATTAAAATAATGTTAATAATTAAAATTCTTTTATTTTAATTCTAAATATAATTTCAAATGCAATCTCCTATGACATTTAATACATTTAAATTTAAATAAATCAAATATTTTGTCAATTTTTTTTCTTTGTAAGAAAATATACAATCAGAGTACACCATTGATGATGTGTGATATTTTTTTCAGTGTGCATCTTATCAATAGCCCGAATCGTGACCCAAATCAAAACCAACTGCATTGAGCGCAAATGAAAAGAAGCAATGAAAATGTGTAATAGCCAAACAAACCTGACACAATTCTCCGAGATTGACTAACATAAAGAGATACAGCAGGAGAGAGCGGGAATATGGGAAAGTTGAGTCAATCAAGCGAGGTTCTATACACGTCAAATTAGTCGATTACCTTTTTCGTACGCCAGCTGCATGAGTAACTGACGAAACTTATGAATCACCAATAGAGTGGCAGAGTAAATTATTTTCGGTTGAAAATGAAGAAAAACAATAATTGCAATTATCATCGCAGTTGTACGTTTGCATATAAATAACTAAATAGCTTTGCCATTATAAATGTGGTTTTTGAAAACGGGGAAGTCACTAATGAAAAAGGAATCACAGTGGAACGTGCTGATAACCACAAAAAACAAAGGGCACAGATATTTCAAGCGGAGCAAGGGTTTTTAACACAATCATTAAAAGTCCCCTATGTGACTGAGTCAACTGTGCAAATATTACAATTAATATTAATATAATTTACAAAATTTAATTTGGTTTTTTTTATTTATATAATTATTAGTATTTCGTGAAAGTTATTTTAAGTCCCAACCTCATAAATTTGTCTCTTTGATCACAAAGCACCTGAAAAGTGACCTTTTTGCAACTCCCTTCTTTGGCCATTTAAAAATTTGTTGGCTACCTTATTTTGGCCACGTTTTCACGCCCGCGGTACGTGCCCATAAAGACAATTCAGTGCCTCCAAATCGATCAAAAGTTTGCTTCATTGTGCTCGGCCCCACACACTTGTTTGCAGTTGCAGCCCGAAAAACAGCAGCGAAAACCGGGAAACTTTTCCATAAGCTGTGCAACTTTTTCCCGGCTTTCCCGCTTTCCTTTCTTTATTGTCTTTTCAACTGTTTTGTCGAGTCGAGCGGTAGAGGAGCAGAATAAATAGGGTAGATCCCCATTATATTTAATTTGCCTGGCATACGCTTTGTCAATATCGCACTTTTCCCATCTCTTTTTGGCCCGAAAATTCCAGCATGGCCCAAAGCGTTGCCAACTTCCTAGGCACGCACACACGTTCACACGCTCACAAGAAGACAGACACTAACATTTAAACGCATTTATTTATATATACAAAGGATGCATGCAAAAAGTTGCTGTTGACATTGTTCAGTCATTTTTCAGCAAATTAGTCATGAAATTGTGCATTTCTATTTGTCTCTCGCCCCAAATTGCTAAATTTGTGAATAAAAATTTTCCGCCAGCGATTATTCAGTAATATAAAATACAAGTGTGAATGTGGAAAATTGCGAAAATTGAATTGAAAAGTGATACAGCGTATTCTGGGGTACAAATCAATTCAATTGGATAGGGATAAAGTTAATATTTTTGGTCAGACAATTGGATATTTAAAATGACTTTAAGCGTTGAAGTTTTAATGATGGTAGATATATGTATTTGTTCTTTTAATGTAAATGTTACATGATTGCATTGAGTAATTGGGAACAATTAAAACTAATTACTACCGAAATGATAAAAAATATACATTTTTTTATTTGCTCCTTCATAAATCATAGATTGATTGGGTACTTACAATACAAGCAATCAACTAAGAAGCAGAAGAAAAGCATTTGATAGAAGCCCGTTAGCAATTCACCGCCTTTTTCTTCCTTGCTTTCAAACGGGGAAAACTCCCGCTTTTCATTAAGGGAATACCTTTCGAAAAACTAAAGCCCCCAGTGCGATAAAGCTTTTGTGTCCCCTGGCCAGTCCTTTTTTCGCAACGTTTCAGTTACTGCAAAATTTGCAGTTGGTCGCTCGAACGCTTTTTTGTTGACCAGGTAGCAAAGCAAAAAGCCAAAATGAAACGATGTTATGAATATGAATGAGAGACGGAGGAGCTTGCCCTTCTCTGCGATTCCCATTGCAATTACCATAGGTAGAAAAAGAGTTGAAAATTATGTATGTCATGGGTGGGGTGGGTAGGATTGGATTGCCAAAAAAGAAGCATTAGATGCAGTCACAGTTTGCAGTAACAGTCACTGGCCGAGTCACATTTAGAGCTAGCAAACTGGGCAAACACTGCACGTATTTAATTCAATGCCTGGATCTTTTTTGTTGCCAGCTGGCACATATATACATATATACAAATATGGCATAGACCATGCCTCAATTGGTGGCCATTAAAATGCATAAATGCTGAACCGCTTTTTGTTCGTCCCTAGATGAGGCAGTCATAACTAAATACGTCACGACTGGAGTTCCTTTTGGCCATTTGAATTACATTGAATGGTTTTTGGATGCAATGCAATGCCTTATTTACATGCTGCACATGTTGCAGCTCGTGTCTTCTTCGTTCCTTTTTTTATATCCTCGCACAAAGGGTATCCATAAAATTGAATGGCAAGTTTGCAAGGAAATTGTGGGCGAATGTTATGTGCATTTCGCTCGGGGCAAATATACAAATAGTGGTGAAAGTGGAGTATGCCAAATAAAGTTTATTTGTTGTAAAAAATATTTACAAGAGTTTTTTTCATACGGCAACGAATTTTAAATCGTAAAATTATTGAAAAGTATTTCATAAATGGTATTTTGTGTTTCCCTCTAAATTTAATAAATATAGTATGAATTATTTAGTACTCGGTTTTTTTTAGTGTATCCGCGGATCGGTTGGTTGAATTTCCGGAGCATTCCCATCTGGAAAAAAGGTTCAGGGGCTGCATTAAACATTTATAATTGCAAGACAACAGCCAGCCGACAGTCAACTGATGCGATGTCTGCGATGCGTCAGTCCTATAAAAATGTAAAAGTATTCAGTGTGAAGTGGCAGAGCGCTGCTAGAAAAAGACGGCAACTGGGCGGCGGAGAGAGATAGGTAGAATGGGTGAACCTGCAGTGGATTTCATGCTTTATTTTTTGGTTTTTTGTGTGCAGTCTTTGCATTTGCATTTTCGTAAACCTTTGAAAGGTTGCAGAGCAGGCTTAGCGACTGAATAAAATGCAGCTGTCTTAAAGTCACGTCATGTGGGTGGTTCTATGGGTAGGTTCTAACGCGAGGGGCTGTTGAAACTGCCGAGGGGTTGTGGCTGTAATGAAACAGCTGCAAAAGCAACAGCTTCATGTGCCGTGTGTTGTGTTAATGTTGTTAGGCTTTAGCATAAACCAGCATCTTCTTTTCAGCTAATGAGAAATCTGTCTCAGTTCCCCAGCGAGCACTCCCTATATCGTTCTCGCTCTTCGCTGGCGTAATAAGAGGGTACAAAATAATAAGCACGGACTGAAACATTGAAGGATTTTAATTAAATAGGACTGACAGCGTTTTTTGGGCCCTGATGAAAGCATAGAATTTATTTCCGCACTTGTACGCGGCACAAAGAGATGAAAGTAATGCTCAAGTGGATGCTGATGTCTCTTTTCAAGGATGCATGCTAACACAAGTAACGGCATTGTTTTGAATATTTATTAAACAAAAAGGGGGCTTGCTGTAGACTAATTACAGTCAAGAAATTTAACAAAAATATAATAAAAAGCTTACATTTGCAAAATTTAGTTATTTTTTTTCAGAGCATAAAATATTACAAATGACACAGAGCTATAAAGAACATCGATTCGAAAAAATCGAACGATCCTTAATCGATTTCAGCGAAAGCAAACTATAAAAATCCTAATACCCCTATAAAATCAATCAAACTTTTTATGGGCACACAAAGCCTTAAGAGCCGCTCACGTATAGACACAGAGCCCAATAAGAAAGCATTAAAACAGCTAGCCGATCAAGTAATTACCAGCCGTGAATCAGCTGCTGGCCAAGATCTTTGAGACAAGCCCAAATCCATTCGAATCACTCTGGTAGATGCTGAGTTACCAAAGTGTGGTTGACCTTTTCGACCGGAGTTGGCGCATGTCAAGTGCCAGCCGTACCTAAAACGAAGACAGTCACACTGGACGCGGGCACTAGTTAAACACAGCTTCGGTCACACTCTGAGCATGCGCAGTCGGAGTTATGGACCAAACGGGGTCAACCGCCAAGAAGTGGAATAACCATCAATTTCATGGATATTGTGACAGGAAACTTTTCACTCAATCATCACTTTCGTATGGTGAACACTTTCCACCGCCCCGCGGCCTAATGTCGTGTCTCATCAATCAAGTTTACCACTCATCTATGATATTATCATTCGGCTTGAGGTGAGAACACGTTTTAGGGGCATCATCTTGTTTATATAAACACACATTTATATATATATATATTTATGGCTTTGTATCGGGCAGTAAGTAAGCTAAACTTTTTCACACATTTGCGCGGTCTTAAACGAGCGCGTGATATCATCTCATGAGCGAGACTTTGGCTTCACTTTTTTCTCTTGGCTGTTGTTTATTCTTACCTGTTAAGATGGCTGCGAGACATATAAAAACGATCCGTGACATGATTTCGCTGCTGACTTCCTTTGGCTTCCTTTACTTTCTGTGTGTGTGTGTGCGTGTGTGCGGTAATCCCGGTTTTATTTTTTTGGGTTTGCCTTATATGTATATTTATTTTTTGATGTCACTCCGGCTTAAGGTTGCACTTGCTTTAGCTTTTCATGCATGAAATAACGACCAAGTACTTTTCGGTGGCACTTTACGGCCGCTGAGGCTCTGGTTTATATTTTTTATGTGATGTGTGTGTTTGTGTGTTTTGGGTAGTGTGTTGTGTGTATTTTTTGTTTTTTTATTTTACTCGTTGGTATTATTATTTTTAATTTGATGGGTATATCCGATCGGTAGGGTTTGCTTTCTGCTGCCAGCTAATCGAAGATTGTGCCACAGTGATAAACACACACGGACGCGTTGGTTGACTTCGGCTGTGGTAGTGCTCAATGGCCGGCTAACGCACACGGACGCAGGTTTTAGTTGGTACGATGCCGAGCTGATTCCGAGTCACGAAATGCCGAACCCAAAAAGCCGAGCGAACGATATGCTATGCTATTGCTGTGCCCAAACACGGAACTCAAGAGCGACTGAGGGTAACGAGCGAACGAAGTGCCGAATGCAACAGTTACCAAACGACTGAATCCGCTCCGTGTTTATAAAGTTGCCAACCGCCCGTGGAACATGGACTGCGCTGCGGCAGCGACGTCGGCAGCGGAGTCGACAGCGGCAGAGCCCCTAATGCGAACACCCGATGTATGCGTTTTTACATATGCAGTCGCCACCGACTGCGCTGCCTGGGAGTTGCAAGTTGCCGCTGTGTGTTGCTGCTGTTCGTGGATATTGCTGCTGTCGCTGGTGTTGCTGCTGCATGTTGCTGCTGTCGCTGGTGTTGCTGCCGCCACATGCGCGACGAGCTAGCAGCATTGCATGTTGCTGGCGGCGACTTAATGTTGCTGGCGTGCATGTTGCCCAGTTGTGCTTGTGCTACTTTACGCTCTGCAGTGAACTCTTATGCGAGGTACTCATAAATTGCAGGGGTATATTGGCTGAAATAAGAGTTTACTACACTACAAAAAAATGCTACTAAATTTATTATATCTATGAGGTTTTGTATTTCTTTTGTAAATCCCATTTCAGGTGGAAGTAACATAAAGTTTACAATTTATCGTTTCAAACTCTTCGCTTGACAACATCTCCTATTTTGGTTACACATTTATTTTAAATGGAATTGTGACTAAAGTGACTAAACTTTTCCCATCCACTTATTGTGCTATGAGTCATCCCTTTGGTGTTTTTTTTTAACAGGGTGTTAATTTATTTGAATTGACCTGTTTATAATTTAACTTGTACACAAGAAATTACGTATTTTAAATATGTTTCTGCTTGCTTGTACCCTTAAATCGGAAAATAATCCTTAATTTAAAAATTCAATAAGAAAAAGTACAACAAGCAAGTGAAAATAAAACCAATTTAAAATTAGAAAGTTTAACCTTGGGTAAATTTAAAGCATTTAAATCATTATTTATACGAAAGTAATTTTTCATTTTATTGTTTTTTAACCTAATTAGTGTGAGCTAGCCAATTCAATACACATAATTAATATTTGCACTGACAAATAATTGCAAGCAAACAAAATAAATGGACATCCAATGAAACAAATAATATAAAAATAGGCCATTCCAGCAACGGGTATCGTGGAGTTCTTACTATAATTATTCGACGTCGTTGCTGTTGCTGTTATTGTTGTTTAGTTTGATTTGAATTTGTTTGGCTCTTGTGTATTGCCGTTGTAGTTTTCTGTTGCTGCTGTTGCTGTTGACTTGGCCAAGTTTGTTTTCAGGCTGTCGCCGATGCTGCTGCAACTGCCGGATTTCTGTCTATTTGTCGTTTGATAATCTACCCCCTGGATTTCCCTGGCCCATCCCTTGGCCGCTTTTGTTTGCCTGTCTCGTGTTGTCGAATGGCACACACACAAATTCGGAGCGAGAGCGAATCTTGGGCACAGTGGCTCCTCGTTCTGGTTGCTGATTCCCAGATTCCCGGTCTCTGCCGCAAATATTGAGGGCTGCCCGCTGTGTTTGCCATTGTCCCAGATCACCAGAATCGCCCCAAAATGGGACTCTGACCCGACCCACTATGATTTGAATGATGTAAACGAAGTGTTCGATTTATGGAGAAACTAGTAAACAGTTAGGCATTGTGTTTGCGTCAAGTGGCGGAAATAGAGCATCTATATTATATAGTTGTAATATGTTTAGATTTCAATTTTTACCTGAAAAAGAGCAACAAGAATTTAAACACATTATACCATCAAAGCTTTCACCCAATTTTTATAAATGAAAAATGCGGATCCCCATAACGTCACATCACCAAATAGCTATAGTTATTTACTGGGGAGTATTTAAAGTGGCCCGTATGTATTTCGACCCTCTCACCCAATTCCAACTTTAGATTCATTGCCCCATAATGTATTTACTTCTGCATTATTACACTTGCCATCCGGCAGTACCTCTGCCCTTCGAAAGCAATGCAGCAAATAGTATTATCAAACATTTTAAATTTAATCAAAGCACACACATTCAATAAGCTTTGGGCCAAATTTTGGCTTTTGAAAAGGTAAACGATGGCAAGCGCATATAAATTGAATGCTCTACTTGATATTGCGGTGTTGTGTGGAACTTGGGCAGAGAAATATATTTAACATTTAAGCAAGTAATTTTAGGCGTTAACAAAATAAAATTTAAATGGTTGTGAGAATTTGAAAACTAAATAAAATGTATAATTTTTAATTGCTTAGTTTTTAAATACCTAATCCTGCGAAAAAAGCTCCAATACCAACTAATTTTAAGCTTGAAGAGCATTTCCATAGTCCTTTTTGGCTCACTACCTCCATTATTTAGTTAAGCCTTGTTCAACAACTATCTATTTTTTTTGTTAGTTTTCCATATGCATGCAATAAAAATATCGCATGCAATAAAGTATGTGTGCTCAGGGTGCAGAGTACTGGAAATTGTAAATTCCTGTTATGTGCCAGTGTCCATGGGCGAGTTTATAGGGGGGTTGGGGTTGGGTTGATAGCCAGGGCAGAGGAGGGAGCAAAAGCTGCTGAGAGCAGACAGCATGTGTTTATTGCCAGCACAAAATGATGATTATACGTAATGTGTAATGGTCAGAAGGGCGTCGAAAGGCGGGGCGGGATGCGTGGGGTGTAGCTTTTCCGTAGCTCTCTGAGTGCGGCGTGTAAAGCCCCAGAAAAGCAGCCGGAAAAGCATCAAGCAGACGGCAAAAACAAACAGGCGTCCCTCTGCCTGCCAGTGGCATCTCCTTGGTTTTGCCATTTTCCTGCTGCTCCAGAAACACCTCCGCCTCCTTCACTTCACATTGCCCATTTTCCGCTCCTCAGTTTTTCCCCTATCGCGCAGGCAGCTCTATTTTCCATATTTGTGTTGGCTGCATATAGCAGCAATAGCCCCCAATAGCCAACAACATACTTAGACAATTTTTTGGGATTGCTTTCAATTTTTTATTTGAATACCATTTGCCCTGTTGAGATTGTCAATTTTTGACACAGCTTGAAAGCTAGTTTTATGTGATTTTGGGGCCTTAATCTAAAACCACAAGATGGTTTATCGAAAACACAGTTTTTCTGTTTTCAATTGACTTTAACCGATTTTGAAAACAGCTTTTGTTCAGATGTTTTTAAATATTTTTCAAATATTGAATTTTTTTTTGCAATTAGTATTTGAACTAGAATTAACAGATAATACTAAGTAAAGTTCATTTATATTAACAAAATTTATTTAAAGACTTAAAAAAATGTTTAAAAAAGGATTCTTGAATTAATGTTTCAAGACACCTTGTAAATCAAAGGAATCTATAATTTAGACCGATTTGAAATGTAGTGTTCACTTTTTGCAGACAAATAAAAATATTAAATTGATTTATTACGAAATATAAAATAGTTAAACTCCACTTTACTGAAGAGCTACAATTCAATGTAATTTGTTTTCCATATGAATATGTGTGAATTTCAAACCCATTACATTTTAAAATCTCTCACGCTGTCAAACTGCAAGTGAAACTCATTTTGTTATGATTGCAAGTCATTTCCATGACACTTGCTATCCAAAAATACAAAAAAAAAACCAACAAAAGCCCAGCCAAAAACAATAACCGGAGAATTTAATGAAATGGGAAGCACCTAGAAGTCCAAACATGGAAAATGAGGGGGTCAAAAAGGTGTGTGGGCGTGGAAAACATGCAAAGCCAAAGAGCCAAGGGAGCTTTGCTATATGAAGTTACCCGAAAACATGTAAATTAAGCATCCGGGAAGTGGAGGTGGAAAAATGTTGGTGAATGCGGATGAGCGAGTAAGACCTTGCATTACAATTGAGTTACAGTTTCAGTTCTGTTGCCCTTATTGCAGGAGCTAGTGCAAAACAGTGGGGTTTTCATGCGGAGGAAGAGTTTGGAGTTGTTTGTAGGAGACCCATGTTCATATTGTGCGAAACAATGAATTTATATTCGTACTACTCGTTTTGCTCGTTTCTTTTTTAAGTTGAGTTATGTTTCTGCTTTTACATAAACACCAAGCAAAAAATAAAGGGGGATGGGCGTTGGAGAGGGTGAAAAACGGTATGGCAATATAGGAAAAGTGGTTGGAAAGCTAGGGAAATAGGCTAGTAACTGCAGTTGGGGCAACCAAAGAATGAAATACTGGAGCTGGGTCACTCACAGCCAGCTTAACACATTTGACTCGTTTGGACTCGTTCCATGCAACAACTTTAGTACTCCACCAATCCACCGAACCACCCACTCAACACCACCCACACCCCCACCCCCTTACCCACTAGCCCCTAGGCTACAGATTAAACTGAGCTTGTAATGAGAATTTCTGTTCTCCACCTCGCTGATGATGATGATGCTGATGAGGAGGCTGCCTTTTGGGTGGTGCAGCATGTGTGGGTGGTTCGATGGGTGGCTGGTTGAAAGCATTGAGCCTCTGGCAATTTGCATTAAAGTCAGCTTTTTTCCGGTCCCCCTTTTCTACCTCCACGTCTTTTGTTGTGCGAAATGAGTGTGTGCAAAGGTATCGGGTCAAAGCTTGGATTTTATGTCACTCTCAACAGAAGAAAAAGTGTAATATATAATGGTTTTTATGCCCTTCTCAGGGCTACAGATGCACTGAAAAAAAATGGTGCACTTAACTCAAAGAAAAGTAACAACCACTTAAAAGCAAATTCTATTTCAACACTGAACAAATTATTACATTTATTGAATCATACCAATTTTAATTAAAATTCTCTGAAATCTTTTCTATTCTCGGCCAGCCGAAAAGATTAATTTTATTGTTTATTATTGGGTCAATAGCTTTATGAATAAATAATAAATAAATTACCACATTTCTGTATATCGGGTTGAAGTTAGTGGCTTAAAAAAAAAATACTTGCCTCGAATAAAAGTCACAATATGTCTCCCAGTGCCTCACATTTGAGACAAAAGTTTGCTGATGCAGTGCAACATGTTGCGGTCGGCTGCGTGCAATTGGGATTCGAGTGAGCATAAATTAAAAAGAGACGCCGTCCTCCGCCGAAGAGAGCTTATGAGTTGTCCTTGCCAGTGCACCCTTAACACCACCCACTTCTCCGTAC